CAACAGAACAAATAACGCGCATTAGGTAGTGAGCTCAACAAATGAGTTGAACTGTTTATTAATTCCATGGGGTTCTTTAGTTCCAAGGCGGAATATAGTTCCTCCTCGACACGCTGAGCTGATTTTTGTTGCCATTGACAACACATACACCAGAAATAGACATATCTGTAATATTACCGTACTCGACCACGTTAGCGCCCATGCCCGGGCAAGCGCCCACCCCCCACTTTTGCACAATTTTTATATTTGGGGTCACATTCGGCAAAGCGCCCACCCCTTCAAAATGCAACTAATTTAAAACTTGGTCTTGCGTAACGAATCTTGGTAATCGTTTTTATATGATACAGTGTGGATATCGACCACTGTGAACATGTTGTGAATGCGTAGAACACGGTAACCGTGCATAAACTACGCTTCGAAAATGACCTGTTAATACAAGTAAAATGCGGTAAATATTTCATGCCATATTCAGTTTACCTCTCAAAAATGGCTAGTTACTAGTTTTTTGGAAAAAACATGTCGTTTATTCGCTGAAATAAATTCCAACAGATCGTACTTCGACATCGATAATTCACTTCCGCATTGCATTACCGGAAAGTCTTCGGAAATTTCCGAAGAATTGCCTTCAGTGCAATACAGCATTCTGATTGGTAAATAACCAACTTGACCCATTAGGTCAAAGGATGCTGCTGCAGGTCAAATGCAAATGCATCATGGCGGAAAGTGATTTTCATCGAGAGTTTGTGTACGATCCAACACCTTCGTCAGTGGAGATAATATGACAATTTTGACTTCGACTGTGTTCCAACAGACTCAAATGTTTTTAATTTCATAAATTCTGGTGGTACGTAATTAATATTGTAATAAAATGTGCATATTTGTTGTGATCATTTTTGTTTCTTCCTTGTGAAAATAAATGACGACTCAACTAATTTCGTAATTTGATTTTCCCTCAAAGACGTAATCTGTCACTTGATGAATCAAATTTTTCATTTGCACTCTTTTTCGAGGGGGGTGCTCGGGTAAGCGCCCACCCCTAAAAAATCGTGATTTTCTGAGTTGAGGCCCCTGGGCGCTAACGCGGTCGAGTACGGTATGTCCACTAGAATTAAAATGAAGTGAAACTGGATAATAACGATTTTTCTGTCTAGTTTGCCGTAGATGCTCAGCAAACCAATCACCCAATCGACAAACTGTAGAACCAATATAAAGTTTCCCGCATTTAATACACGAAATGCAATATACAACATTCATGGTGATACAACTGAACGGATATTTGACCTCAACATCTCCCTTGGGACCAAATATACGATTAGAGTCTGTAATAAAAGTACAAGTGTTACACCTAGGACGATTACACGGGACAGAACCATATTTCTAAGGGTCTCCCCTTTCACCCGTATGCACCAATAACCTCCTTAAATTAGTGTCACGGCGCCAGGCAGTAGTAGGCATTAGTGGAAACGTAGAACTTGTCTCCTCGCTGGTGTAAAATGTGAAAAATGTTTGTACATTATGTTTTTAATCCTGACATTTAAAAGGATGGTACGTAAGTGCCAAAATTACACGATCCTGATTGTCACGGGAAACCGTAGATCCAATACAATCCGTTCTTGACATTGACACAACCTTGGCCAATGCTTTCCCAGTGACATTACGAGGATAACCCCGTTTTTTGAAATAATCACATAAATTCCTCGCTTTGTTACGGAAATCAGTATCATCGCTGCAAATACGACGTACCCGGAGTAACTGTGAGTAACATATTTATCAGTCCGAGCAGCGTTTATTTATTTATAAACTAGCTCAAACCTAGTGGTTTACATTAGAAAGCGCATTGGATTGTGGGAAAATCAATGTTTTTCAACACAAATGTCGCACATGCGCATCGCGACGACCACCGCCCTTTAAATTTTATAATTACAGTATGACCACATAAATACGGGTCTTCAGATGTTTGAGATATTTGCCATTTTTAAGTTTGATAATACAAAAGGACGCTGTCACATCAAATGGACCATCAAAATCCGCCCTCAAAAAAAGCTGGATTTTAACGCTCGGGCATTGAGTTGGTCACACCACCGTCCCCGGTGTTGAGGGACGGTGGTTACACAAACCCTGTGCGTTCAAGGGGAGCACGTATCGATCGTTACCTTGGTAGATACAGACATTTAACAGGCCGACAAACCAGAAAAATCTGTGGATTGTGGTCACGGTTTAAAGTACTGTAAACCGTTTCAGGTTTTCTCAGAATTCGTGGTGACACACTTACGCGGAAGTGACTGACACTCCGTTCCGTGGCGGGACTCAAGAGAAATTGTCTCTGATACAAAATGACGTGATTTTCCTTGACGGTACTTGCAAGTCATATATTTTTGCAAAGTCCACAAACGCGGAAAGTATATCACGTGTTGGCGCTTAATTTGGAATCTGTACACATGACAACGGTTACTAATAAAAGTAACCGTGATTTGGCATCCCTAATCCCTCACAGATTAAGGTAGAAGCCTACTCATAAATTACCCAGAATTTATTCATTTTGCAATAAACTGTACTCCAAAGCAATATAAGGATATTGACTTAAAAAAGTTGGGGGTCACCAGCCTTATTTTCGAGAAATTGATGGTTGTATTTTGGTGGAAAGTCGCCATTTTGACACGATTATAATGCTTTTACCATAGATTCCTATGCAATATCTTAAAATCTAGCCTGGTGACACAGGCTGAAAAAATCATATATTGTTAATGATGGAGTACTTTTTGTTCTTCTGAGTTTTTTTAAAAAATCGGGGTTTTAAAAGGTGTTTTCTCAAAAGCTTAACTGTAACACACAAAATACATTATATATTATACAAATTTGACTATAGTGAAAGACAACTTGGCAACATATTTGTGAACAGCGTGGTTAGGTTGTCGCTAAAGTTCCGCTATCATTCTCGCATTATATACAAATAAAATAGTTTGAAATGCAAGCATCCCGTCATTTGCAACCATTTTTAAATAGCGAATAGTGGTATTGCTGATATAATTGCTGAAACATACAAAGCAATACTAACATACCTTATGAGAAGTATTCTCTTTCGAAAGCATGGAATTTCCCGTATTGACAACCGCTGCCCGCATCATTTCGTTACTTTCAGAAGTTTTCCCTTAAGTCATTGGGGATCAAAAGCCGTAACCTCATTAAGATGAATGGGTACGTCGTACCATGCTCTATACAACTGAAAACCCAGTCACTTAAATAAACGAGACATTACATTCTTTGTTATATTCGGGGCGATAACAAAGGTAACCATGACGATGTCGATATAAACAACGTCTGTTATTTCCACCTTTCCATGTAAAACTTACGAGCATGTAACATGTCACTGATTTGTTACATACGAATTAATTCGAGAACTCAAATTGTTCAAATAGAATCAAAACCGATCTATAACTGTCGGTATGTATAACTAGCTAAGTTAATCAGGTCACCGAATGCAACAACTTCCGGTTGACCTGAAATGTATCAAAGCTTTGGCATTCGACTCAGACTCGGAAAGTTGTTTTCTCACAAGGAGTGTGAACGTAGTCTCATATTTCCACATGAAAGGTGAAATAAATAAACAAATACATTAATTATATAATTATTACCTAATTAATTAACTATTGCCTAATTAATTAAATTATTAATTAATTAAAAATACAGTAAAATTGTGTAACAATATATATTTTGGATTTTTACAAATCATGCTTGACCGCAAAGCGCTGATATTTATCACGAATTGGTGTCACTGTAATAAATATTTTCTTAACTCAGAAATGAAAAAATATTTTCATATCAAAACAATCAGGAGTAAATTTGTATAATTACCAAAGAGTAACAAGTCCAATAACCGATCATCAAATAACAAAATCATTCAAAACAAATCAGAGACTTGGAATTTATATTTTATATACCAAATTATGCAAAACAAACACAAACATATATATAAATCAGCATTTATGGTAATAACTCAATTATTAAATTGCATCTCATTTACTACAGCTCACTAAATAGTGTCTTAGTGCTAATAATATTTTGATTGTTGATGTTTCATGACTCGGCAACTTAAAGTGAAACCACATATGCTAAAACCAGGACAACTGAAGTTCTGTGGACATTGCGATGACCGGTGTTTACTAAATTTCAATTGTTGAATTGAATTTGTTACGCCCCCAGAGTAAATACAATTCACTGTTAATTTCATTATCTGGGGCAACTTAAAACAATTCCTTTGAAGTTACTCCATCGGAGAACATACTTCTTTGCTAACGCATCGCCATAAACCGTGTTTAAGCGAGTACTATCTGTTATTATTATAGTGTCTGCCAATGAAACAACGAGGCAATCGTTTTATCGTCACTTTCACTTTACAACAGACTCACACATTTCACAGGTGGTGTCACATAAGCCAGGTAGAAACAGGCCAACGCACGATCGTTGCACTCACTTTT